ATAATGTACGGCCGGAACTATTCAGCTGGAGGAACAAATTTTGGAAAGGGTCGAAGAAATTTCTCAAGTAAATAAAAGGCGTTTAGCGGCAGAGATTGGCTTTCAAAAAGTTCCGTTAATAGAGTATTAAAAGACCAGTTATTACAGATTCCTATACTAACAGGTGGCTAGGTATAGGAAATAATGCCCCTTTAAAATGGCCACCTCGATCCCCGGACCTAAACCCATGTAATTATTTCATTTGGGGAGCGTTGCGGACCACAGTTTATAACTTTTCAGTAAATAGAGAAAACGAACAATGGGAAATAATACAACATGAAATTAGTGTTATGAGAGGTAATGCACAATTATTGGATAAAATTCATTTTCATTTTCGATGAACTAATGCTTGCGTTTAAGAACAAGGAAGTAACTTTAAGCATTTACTGTAATATTATTTTAATGTGATTACAAATATCAATTTAGGTTTATTTAAAATGTTAATGTTGACTTTCTTACATTATTAGTTGATACTGTTTATTTAAAATATTAGGGTTGATTTTTATTTTATTGATTGATAATACTAATACTAAAAATGTGTAATTTTTTTTTAATGTGACGTTTTTTCATTATTATTCCCTGTTTTGAGGCTGCAGTTATAAATTATTTTTTACAAATCGGAATTTTTGCCTATATTTAATGTATAAAAAATGCCAGTTTTACTCGAAATCCATAAACGATATCAAAATTTTGTAAGAGCAAAAAAATCTTCTAAATTAATGCTTATTTTTAAAAATATAAATTCTGTCGTCATTGGCGCAAACACAAAAAAGTTACGGGATAGCCAGTGGTGCACAGGCACTAGAAAGAGAACATCCTGTATATGTTTTCTCACCAAATTCTATATTTACATTGCCCTTACATAAAAAATAAGTGTATCAAATTTGAAGTTTCTAAGAAAAATAGTTTTCAAATTATTTGAAAAAAACTAAGTTATCTATTCTATATTTAGAAGGCTTATATCTCAGTAGGCGTGCACTTTTGTATATAGGTAAGTTAGGCTAAATAGTCTTATTTTCATTCCAGGAACCTGTGGTCAAGCTTTGTCCATTCTTTTCAGGGACACCCTGTATTTACTGCTTAAAGTTAAAAATTAAAATTTTGCAATTTTTATATTCTTCCTTCTTTTATCTCAGATAATATTTAAATTTTTTGTTTTTGTTGGAATATCAAATTATTTTAAAGATGTGAGACAAACATGTTATACTTATGAGTTTATTTACATTATATTACGAAAAGAGAATATTCCGAAAAGTTACCTTTATGTTTTTCTTCAATTAGTTCACAAATAATTTTATTGTCAAAATATTCCACATGCGTCCACTGTATACCTTCCTTTTCATACTCTTCTTGTTCCGATTTAAGAGTTAATTCGATAAATAGCTGTTGCAGTTTTTCGTTGCAAAAATTAATGCAGAGTTGTTCAAAACTGAAAAATTATCTTCTTTGATTTCTAAACTTACATAAACAGAAATAATACATACCTATTTTTTTCAAATATTTCAAATCCGTATATATCCAGAATACCCATTACAGTATTAGATCTTTTTTCTTTTGGTTGAAGTGAAGAATTAAGTCGAGTCACCAACCAGGTAAATAGTCTGTCATAAACAGCTTTCGCAAGAGCGTCTCTCGCATATATTGACAGTTCCCTATTTAACGGACTGACTACTACGTCTAGTATAGTTTCAATGGTGCGATGAGTCAGTGCATGTTTCAATTCTCCAGAGTCACAATTAAGGAGCTAAAACATTAACAGGGGCATCTACATATTAAGTAAATTATGTGAAATATAATTGGTCAACATACTTGGTGTGGCGTGTATAATCTATAAAAATTAAACTACAGTTTCCTGATGATATTTGTAATAGAAAAGTTTTATACGAAAAAGTTCTATCTTCGCGTTTTTTTTTTTTGTAAATTAAAGTTCATTTATTCAACGAAAATGAAGGCCGACCGTATTATTTATTAAAAACTTTGGAAATGTTTTTATGCGACTCAAGATGCCACCTTATAATTTAAGTCGGTATAATCTAATATTAGTAATACTAAAAGAAGGTAAGGTTACATTGGCAAAAAATTTGTATTTATATTGAATTCATTATTCACTTAATTATTAAATATTAAGCATCGTACATCGACCCATCAGTGTTAAAAAGTGAAAGATTCCAGACAAAAGTTTTTATTTTGTAATTCCACGATAGTGACGGTGAAATTTTTATAAAAAAGTAAAAAATAAGAATAGCGTTCCGATTACATTAAAAATGAGATTCTTATTTCTTACTTTGCTTAATTATTTAGTTTGTGCACAATGAACCGAGAAAACAATGGATTTACTATTTCTGAACGTATATGGTGTTAGTGTATGGTGCAGCCGGAGAAAATGCGCTTGCGGCGACTAGGTTGTACCGGGGATGATGGCCCCATGTGCAAATACAATCCTACAGTGCGTTCAGCGGCTACGAGATACAGGAAGTGCTATTCCTCGAGGGGAAGGACATGGTCAGCAAGTGAACCTTAATGTTGAAGATGCAGTGTTGGAAAAAATTATTAGTACTCGATGACTCACACAGGAACCTCATCTCGTATCATCCACCGCATCTTAAGGCGCCAGCTGTTGCACCCCTATCATCTGCAACCAGTTCAACAGATTTTACCCCCGGATTGTGATCAACAAAAGCGTTTTTGCAAATGTGGTTTTTACGGCAATGTGTCAATCAAGTAGACTTTCCTGCTTATGGTTGTGTTTAACAGATAATGCGACATTTACCCGTGATGAAGTGAATTTCCATAATATGCACATATGGGCCGATGAAAATCCTCACGCGATTAGAGAAACTTATTTTCAACATTGGTTCTCGGTAAATGTTTGGGCTGGCATAATAGGCGATGTGCTTGTGGGTCCATATTTCTTTGAAGGACGACTAAATAGACCAACATATGCTGACTTTTTGGAACCGGTTGCCTAAATTATTGGACGATGTGGCATTACAAGTTCGGGCACGCATGTTTTATCTTCAAGATGAGGCTCCGTCACACAGTACTCGAGAAGTAATGACACTTTTGAATGAAATGTTTCCTCAGCGATGAATTGGACGCTTTGTTCCTGTGCTGTGGCCACCTCGGTCACCCGGTGCCATGCCTGTATCCGTGCTAATGGGGATCAATTTCAACATTTTCTCTAGAAGTTGTAAATTTTATTTCATTTTGTTCCATACTTTAATGGAGTTTGTTTAGTACGCGCAGTTGGCAATTCAGATGCTTACGTATGTGGTTTTGTTTGCGAACTCTTGCAGTGACAACAATGCATTTAAGATAGTAATTACTATTAATTAGTATAACAAGAAAATATCAGTTTTTTTTAATATCTATTTTTCTTAGTTTGTACTTTTGCATTGAAAAATTATCTTTCTATTTTTCAACGACAATTTGTTTACGTGGTTGAACTTTAATTTACGAAAAGAAAAAGCAAAAATAGAACTTTTTCGTATAAGACTTCTATTACAAATACACTAGGAAGCTGTAGTGTAATTTTTATAGATTATACACGCCACACCCTGTATAGTAAAACTTTAAAATATTTAAATGTTTTTGTTTACCTTACTAACAGTATCGACTATTTCAGGTTTAAGTATGGTTGATTTTCCTTCTTCTTCAGAAAAACCAATGTTGCCTAAATGTAATATTGCTGATATAATCGAGAACATTTCGGTTTGTTCTTGTTCCGTGAATTCCAAAGTATTTAAGGCCCTTGTAACTTCATTAAAATCTTTCTGATCATAAATGCCTGCTGTATTTCCATTCACCTATAATATTTCAGTACAATTTTTTTATTGTAAACATTAACACATGACAATATTTTAGTATATTAATGCAAAAAATACACTGTATACAATGAAGTAATAATGTCTAATATGTAATTACATTTTGGACATATCTTTATAATAGCGGTACTCACCCCATTAGACAAATAATAATATGATCCTAAATTTCTTTTGAGGAACAGTTTGTTCAGTAACGTATCATCAGCTCCAATAATTAGCTGATAGAAAATATGAAAGTTTCTCTCTCCAGATACCTGACTTATAACTCGCGATTTTTCTAATAAGTAATTTAAAATGTTTCCTCCTACCGGATTTCCCTAAAAACAAAAAAAAATAGGGATAAGTAATTTTTATTTTGCATCTAAACAAGATTATAAATTATATAAAAGTAGAATATACACCTCAAAATTAAACTGAATGTCCATGTACTTTCCAAATCGACTGGAGTTGTCATTACGATTCGTCTTTGCATTACCAAATGCTTCTAGAACAGGATTAGAGAATAATAATTTATCTTTGACCCTTTCTACTTCTCCTTTGTGGTCTGTAACTTCAGCAATGTACTGCAAAACTTTCTTGGAGGCTTCCGTTTTCCCTGCACCGGATTCACCTAAATACCCAAACATAAGATGCATATTCTAGTTATACAAACGGTCTTTTAGTTGATATCTTTCTGGCTTTGTGAAAATAATCATAGATAAATTGGATTTCCTAATACGAACAATAATAAGTACTACTAAGTATAGAAAAAATAATTTATACACTACAAAAGTAAATTCTTTTATTTTCTAATATGAACAAAAAAGGAAAACCTATCTGGGAGAGGTCATTCATGTCAATTTTTTTTCATTTTCCTGATATTAACATCTACTAATTGTCAGCTAGTTACATCTTCAATTTCTTTCAAATGGAATCAAGTTGCAACCGTTTTATATCAAAGATATTTCAAAAATTGAAATTTGCTGGGAGGTTGTTAGAAATTTTGAAAAAAAAAAATATTTTGTATAATACATTTCCATAATTTGAGAATAACCATTAGAACTTCCAGATCTCAATTATAGCGACTTCTTTTTATAAGGATAGCTTATAGATTGATGTTGAACAATGAAATTCACATTAAAATAGTATAAATATTTAGAAAAAGATACAAAATAGTAATTGACTTCATTTTTATTAAAGCAATTAATAAAGAACATTTAGAACACCTTTTGTGCTAAATGAACTTTCATAAATTTTTTTTTGTTCAAGTTAATAATTTTCCAATTTATTCCAAAATATATTAAAACCCAAATTTCAATATATTTATAGTATACAGGGTGATTCACAAACGGTGACCAAAAATGAAACCGCGTATTCTTTGGTGAGTTTTAAGGGGAGTATTTCAATTAAGTTTTTATCTAGGACGCTTCTTTAAAAAGTTGAATGTTTTTAATTTTTTTAAATAATTTAAAAACTAGTAAGTGAAATAATATAAAATTGGACGCATGAATGTATGTAAACATTGTCCAAAATCTGAAGCCATTTTCTAAAATTTAGATGCTTCAATGGTGGAGATACAGGGTATGGGTGGCATATTTTTCTAAATAAAATAGTACGCCACTGCTTTACGGTAATAACCATGATATTTTTGGATTCACCTTTCAATTTTCTACAAATTACTAAAAAGCCTGTTTTTCAAGTAAATCTTAAAAAACAAACTAAAAACACTTTTATTAAATGACATGACAATCACTAATCATTCAGTTATTTATTCGAATAAAGAAATGAATAACATTAGTCATCATTTTAATGATTTTATTTGAGTAAATGCTCAAAAATATCTGATTCCACGAACACAGGCCCAATATCTTTTTAGTAACGAAAATGTAATTTGTTCGAAATTTATTGTTGCTTGAATCTGATGAAAAGCATTATTTATTCTTTCTAACTGCTCAGAATATCAAAGTTGTTATCGCAGCCCACTATCTAATTTCAAAAAGCATTATTTTCGAATAACGCAGTGTGCTCTCATTTCGTTTTTTAAGTTTTACTTGAAAATCAGGTTTTTTTTGAAAAACGTAGGATAGTAATTTGTGGAAAATTGAAAAAACGTAAAGCAGTGACGTACTATTTTATTTAGAAAAATATACCACCGATACCCTGTATCTCTGCCACTGAAGCATCTAAATTTTAGTAAAAGGCTTCAGATTTTGGACAATGTTTACATACATACATGTGCCCAATTTCAAATTATTTCACTTACTAGTTTTTAATATTTTTTTATGTTTAACACAATGTATCTTTTTAACGAAACGTCCTAGATAAAAACTTTATAGGACAGACTCCCTTTAAAATTCACCAAAGAATACGAGGTTTCATTTTTGGTCACCATTTGCGAATCACCCTGTATAGTTGAATACTCCGATCATTTTAATAGCTTTAACCGAGGTGTTATAAGATACCCTTTGGTATTAAAAAGAAAAAAGAAGCAATAACTAACTATTTGAGATAATATTGTTATTTTGATTGTATTAAATTTATTATATTACCTGAAATTAATATGCATTGTTCTCGATTTTCTTCTTTCAGTGATCGGTACGCTGTATCCGTAATGGCAAATCTATGAAAAAATATTTTATCGTACTGTTCTATAAATTAGAAAAGCAATAATGTACTCACACATGTGGTGGAACTTCGAAAAAATGTTTATTGTCATATTCTTTAACATCCTTAGGCCCGTATATATTGAGTTCCCTGTATGGATTTACTGATATTAAAACTGGTCCAATATAAGTCTAAAAAAAAATATGTACTTGTATGTGTATTGTTTATTGTCTAAAAATAAATATGGTTTTATTATACAGTGTAAATATACAGGGTGATGCACAACTTATCCAAAAAAATTTGGAAGTAGATGCGTCATGAAAAATGGAGTTAATATCGTAAAAATTTTGTAAAATCCTTATAGTATCCGAGAAAAAAATTATATAAGTTGTAGTATTTACAACCCTTAAATCACTGGACTACTGTAATCTCTAGCGTCATTTGCATTGTGAGCTGTACGCAATGCGCTCTCTCTTCACATGGTCACAGGTGATTCCAAATAATGTTTACATTTTTTTTACAAAATTGTATTTGCCTCTGTAGATTCAAAATTTTTTTTTTGGATAAGTTCTGAAACACCCTGTATTTATATAGATTACCGCATCTTCAAATCTTCATAAATTTTGATTTAAAACTGATTTTAATCTGAATATGGATTTGAAATGTTTTGAGGAAGTTGAATGTCGTTCTCCAAAAACTTTCTTCTTGGGTCAGGAGAGGAGAAAACCTTATCTAATCTAATATGTAATTCTAGTTTTCCCTATTCCTTAATATTCTATTTCTACAGCTCCAATTTCTGGTAAAAATTGTGCAGATTCACACACTGGTAGTATTTGGTGCTTATCTCTGTTTTAATATAAAATTTGTTTTGTGGTAATCAGGTATATCTTTTTGTAGAAAAAAAAAGTGACTGGAGCTAGATTATGTTAGGTTTATTCAAATTTATTAACTACTGAATTATGCATAATTCCCTAAATCACCATGATGAGTGAGATAAACGCAAGTTTTGTTACCCATCGTTAGACAAAACTTAATAAACCTATTTTGTATTGCTGATTGCCTAATTCACAGAATAATATTTTATTATTTCTACATTTTATACAGGGTGGCTCAATATTCATGTCGGGGTTTTAAACGTATTATTTTTTTAGTAAAAGTGCACGAGTGTAGCCAAAGCTTAGGGAATTCATTATGGAAAAATACACAACGCTACAGCTTAATATCATCATTAAGCAAAATTGTTCACTTTTATTTTAAAAATCACAACTCAATGAGAGAAAATAAGTTAGTGATTAAATAACAATTATTTAATTTACTGAAATAATGAACGAGTTTAACTTACATATATCACATCTTCCTTAAATCTCTTATTTAAATTGTCTACGAAAGCATCTTCACTTGTGTAATCTTCTAGAAGGACAGCATCTTGGACTCCCACTCTGTCTCTTTCGTGAAGATGATGTTCCATGATTTAGCTAAAAATAAACGTTCGAGTATAAAACCTTATATAAACTAAATTACCGTAAATCATAACAGGTGGACAGACCAGCTTAGCTTTGTCCCTTAGAAAATAAATGTAAAGTTATATACCACGTTTATTTTTTTAGAAAAATAAGATATTCCTCATAATTTAAAACTTAAGTTACCAAGCGACTGAGAAGGAATAAGAACTTTGTTTTATGATAGTATATCCGTGCAAATCCAATCAAAGATAACATTTACAGTTGTTTAAATATTTACAGCCCATATATATTTCATTACATTGTGTTTATTTATCTATATAACAAATACACTCTTTATCTAATGATTAAGGTCATAAATTATTGCCTGCAGATGTTCCTAATCTTAAGAAAACGGCCACTCTACTGAATTATTAGTATTATTTGAAAAGCGAATCTAATATATTTATGTTGTTGGTACTTATAACTAAATAAATAACATTATCTAGTTAAGATTTACTTGGCACTCAAACTGCAAACATTATTTCAGAGATTTTTTAAAGAAATAAGATTTGTGGAACTATAGAGCCTTCATAAATGAATACAAGCCATATGACCAGTAATTTTGTTTGAAACACCACATAGTTTTATTTCCCTCATGTTGGCAAATTGGCAATTCAATTTCGGTAAAAATTATTAAAACAATAAGAACAAGATTACATTAAAACACAACATTCTGTTTGCGATTGGAGTAATTTTTCACAACATTCTATTTAACCAATCAGCGATCGCATTATCTCGAGCGTAGGCGTAATGATTTGTTACTGTTTATTGTAAACGAATCATTAATACCAGCCGTATAATGTTGGTTGTCTAAGCTCGGAGGTAATTTCGGTAAAATTTTTATATTTTAATACATATATTTGTTCTACATATAGACTATATCGATCCCATTGTTTTCTGGAGGTAGACACCTACCCTGTAAGCATAACATACATCTTCACATATGTTTTATTCAGTGATTTCCAAAATAAGTAAAAGCTAGATGCAAATTGGGAACGAACTTTACATTTTAAAGTAGACATTTATACAGTTGCAAATAAAACATTACATTTATAGGTACCGCTACAATTGACATTAAATTCGGAGATAGCTAATCTAAATAATCTAAAATTAGTTATGATCATTTGTGGCTAGTAAGTACCTAAAGAATAGGTAAAAATTCACCTTAGTAGTATAATGTGATAGCATACGTATCCCAAATCTGACTCTATATTTTAGCAAATTACTTATTTAAGATACAAACAAAAAATGAAAACTTAATATTTCAATATTTGTTTTTCTTGTAAATAATTATTTACCCTTTTAGTGTTAGCGTGGAATAATAATTAACGCAGCACAATGAAATTATAAATTAGTAAAAAATAACGAAAGATTGTGGTGTCTCCTAGAATAATAATGATCGGAAACGAACAGAAATACCTAGTCGCACATTCAGTAATTTTTATAATATTTTCAAAATCTATTAAAAAGTTAAACGCTCGAGATGTGTGCTAAGTCCATAGAACTGCATATCTGCATATCTTCAAATCACACTCATACAGGGTGGTACATTAGTGTGATAAAATAGGTTGTTATTATTCAAAATACAAAAATGCATATAGCGGTCCCAGGGGATTAAAGATTTTAAAGATATTGGATAAAAAAGGGAAAAAAATAGATTTTTTAAATAAACGTCCTATATATTTTTACATATTGGAATTCACCGCAAAATTCTGCGTTTGATTTATTTAGAAAATGTCTTTAAGGGCGCCGTATTATTTAAATAGTGTTTCCCACAAAGACAAATAATTTCAAACATTTAATAACTGAATAATCTAAAGCTTATCAAATAATAGGAATGTTACGTCATGCCACCCGAGTATTTTCAAAGACGCCGCAGTAAAACGAATAAACAGGTGCAAAAAACGATCAAACCATCAAGGTTTTTGGTACTGAAATCTACGAAAATACAAACTTTTTTATACCGGGTGTTCAAAAAGTTTGGAACCCCCCCTCTATATCAGAAAATACTGTTCAAACAAAAAAATTATTAGGACAAAAGTTGCAAGTTTTGTGTGAGCAATCCAACGGTGATCTTGACCATAACCTTCAAGATCATTTAGAAGTCAATCTGAAAATTTTAAACAGAACCGTATATTTTTGATCCCGGAAATGAAAAAAAAATGGAAATTTTTACGTTTGGATATGATCTTGACCATGACCTTCAAGGTCATTTAGAGGTCAAGTTGAAAATTTTAAATGGAACTGAATACTTTTTTGCCGTTACATTTTTTTCGCAAGAGCATTATTAAACTTAAGTTCTTTGGTTACGTTTGACGTTGCAGTTACCTTTAGGTCATGGTCAAAGACATGGTATAGGTCATTTTTTAATTTTACGCTCATTAAATTTCCGCAGTCAAGAATATCGGGTTATATATTAAAAATCGACTTGACTTGTAAACAACCTTGAAGGCCATAGTCAAGGTCATATCCGAACGTATAAATTTCCATTTTCTCTATTTCCGTGGTCAAAAATATACGGTTCCATTTAAAATTTTGGGGTTGACCTCTAAATGACCTTGAAGGTCATGGTCAAGGTCACCGTTGGATTGCTCACTCAAAACCTTGTAACTTTTGTCCTAATTCTTTTTTCTTTGAGCTGTATTTTCTGAGATAGAGGGGGGGGTTCCAAACTTTTTGAACACCCGGTATATAACTCCACATGTAAATATTCTTATAACATTTACTTGCTTACTTTTATTTATAAGTACGTGAAAATAATTCTTAAAATGTGGGGTTGATAACAGCAAACGCATGTTTTACATACGCTTTTTTTTAGTTATTATTTTATTTGAGTAAAGTAACAATGAATAAACAGAACATCAAGGATTTTATTTTTGTGCTTATTTTTGTTCTACACGTTTTACTTTTCAAGATTTCAGTACCTAAAAACGCCAGAAATTTGACTATTTCTCGGCCAAGGATATGGCCACCCGCCACCTTAATTTTATAGAAAACAATAAGTTACAATTTATAATAATTTTAAAATTGTAATAGTTAGAATTAAAATACGTGATAGTGTGACAGACATGAAAGATATGTCATACGTTCATTATATTATACAGGCTATTTTTTTATAGTTATGTCAACTTTACAAATTTCAATCCACATTTCCTTCGAATTTTCAAATTTCTGTTTATACCTGATATACAATTTTGTACAGTTTTTTATTCTCTTTAATTTTTATCGATAGTTATTTCCCCAAATAGTATCATCATCCAATATTAAATTTGTTATTGTAATTATCCGTGGCCGATACCAAATGTTATCTAATTCGTTAGTCCACAGCCTATTTAGATATTAAAGAATATGGCTGGGTAATGTAAAAATAATATAAAAATTGTAAAAATTAAAGCTTTGTTCCGTTTCGGAGAGGAAACTTATTTTTTTTAACGACACCCTGTATATTTGTGCTTTTTTGAAATAATATTCTTTTTTTTTAATAATTGTTAAATATGTCATATTTGTCGAAACTGTTTGCCCAATATTTTCGTTTGCTTACTGACAATAAATATAATCAAAATTGTCATGGAATCAGTGCGCGAGCTAGAAATATGCAGCGCCATAAAAAATAAAAATTAGTTTATATCTCCAAAATACAACATTCAATTTTTTATATCTTTGATATTTCAAAATACGAAGCATATCCACAAAGTAAGAGTAGGCACTCAAATTTAAAAAAATCGAAACGGCAGTTTTTTTTATGAAAAATTTACATATTCAAAAAGGTACCTACATAAAACACTACTTTTCGACGTTGTTCCTTCCAACCTCAATGCACTTTGTGAGTCGAGAAATGAGCTTTCTGATACCTTCGTGAAAAAAATCTCCCGTCTCTTCTCGGGCCCATTGTTTCACGGCGCTGTAGACCTCACGTCGATAGAAAACCTTTTTCCTCCCACAAACACCTTCGGAGAAGAGAAAAGATTAATCCGAAGGTGCCAGGTCAGGGCTGTGAGCTGGGTGGTTGATGATGTTTCAATCGAATGACTCCAAGTGTTGCTTTTGGCGTTGGCTGTGTGGACGTGCATTGTCATGCAATAAGCACACACCCTTCCTTAACATTTCCCTTCTTTTTTTCTGTATCGCCCTCGGTAGTGTTTTTAAGGTTTCACAGTACTGCGCAGCATTAACTGTTTTCCCCTGGTGCAAAAACTCATTGAAGAGAATTTCTTTACAATCCCAAAACAGAGTTGCTCTGACTTTTCAGACCAAAACAACGGTTTTGAATTGTTTCGCTGATGGTGGAGACGGATGTCGCCATTGTATGGATTGTCTTTTCATCTCAGGTGTGTAGCGACCCACCCACGTTTCGTCGCCAGTCACAATACAGTCAAGGAATTGTTCACCTGGCGGGATTCAGAACAGCGGCACTCATTTCAACACGCCACTACAACAACAGTTCTCAACTGACCGAGATAAATGAGGGCGCGAGTGTTGCTAACTGTCGAAAACAAAGATCACAGAGTTTCAGTACTTTTACTTTGTAGTATGCCTCGTAATTTCTTAAAACTACAGTTTACTTTTTTTCTAGAAAGAAAATAAAAAGGGGGGGGGGTAGAAAGTTATATGAATACAACTTTTATTTGAATATTTTTTTTTATATCCAATAACACACTATTGTACTTTGCCACACCTAATAATAATAGAACTTTTCTGCGTGATCACATTACTTAAATTATTTTATTTAATACTAATTAATTTGTATTTGCATTGAAAATACTTTTTTAACAAGTGGGTCTGAAATTGTGATTATCTTATACCTGTAATCAAATATCATGGATGGATATTATGAATACTAAATTTGTATCCAAGTTTATTTTGTATTGTGTATAGTAAAATTGATACTCTTTCTGATATTCTTATCTTAAAACGGTTATTAAATGATAATAATTATTTCATAATTTCTTAATCACTTTTCATGGGCGTTTATA